AGGAAGGTCACCAGTTCACAAAACCCCTCGTCTCTGCTGGGAAAATCTGCGTGACGTGCCCTTTAGCAAGTCACTTAACCCCTGATCGCCCAACGGAAGCTTCTTATTCTCCAACAATAGGAGACTGTAGCTGTACTGGGAAGCTTCCAGATGCAACAACTCTGTTTCTAAACAAGAACATGCAAAGACTCTCCTCATGAATACATTTCAAGATATAATATTGCCCTCGCTGCTCGTGGTTTTCCACCCACATCGTTGGAATAAAACACTGAGGCTTTGAGATGTTGTAGCAACAGATGTCAGGGATAATGATCCAATGCAAAACAAATTCTAAATGTGAGGCTATGACCTGATGTGCCTTCTCTGAAGCTTTGTGGACACATTTCTATACTGATAGTACATCTGTTTAATTTTCATACCTTTCTTAAGCTAAGTTAAGACGCTTTCTTTTGTTTCTCAGATTCTGTTTTTGTAGGTTTTACGCTGTCATATCTTTAATACAAACGTTTGATTCATCTTTTTTACAGCACAATCTAATAACATTTAAAGGTCCCTACTTTGGGAACTCTGTATTCGTAGCCTTTGCAGAACATTTACATGCACAAAAACATGAGGGAAAACCCCAAAATGCAGCGTTAAGATGTCTTACGTTTGAAATTCTTGTACTAAAACAAATCACAATATCTGAGCAACTCTTAAAACAATTGCAATTCAAAACAGACACTACTATCCGACTAGTTTGCTGAAGGTTTTCTTTTCAATGCAATTTGCATGGAGGTTTTATCCAAGGAAGAAGCACCACTGATATTTAGTTAGTTAAATTAATCCACAGGGACTGTAATATTCCAGCATCTGTTCTTCTAATGTAATGAATGTAGCAGCTGAGCACATTCTTTAGAAGCTCTTTGCTCCAATATGTGCTTTTATGTCCTTATTCCCCGAGTCCAACTCTTCTGAATATTGCAGAAGAGGAGCTTGTCACTGGCCCCTTGTGAAATAAGCCGGCAAAACGTTTTTTGGGCGTTCCCCAGGGCTCTTATCCGGGTCCGCTGTAGATTCCTAATTATCAGCGTTAATCTTTTCATTGTCCAGAGCCCGCCTGTCGCTCCCTGCTGCTCAGCGAGGCAGGGACACACTCCAGGCCTCCTGCTTCCCGTGTGAGAGCAGAGATTCGGCCTGACATCAGACATGGGAAGCGAGCCCGCGCAGCATGAAGGGTAAAAGGTCGAGATTTGACCACCGGCAGATAAAGCCGCCTTTTCATGTGTGATCAGCCCACAACCTAAAGACAAATCCCTCGGCGCGCTGCTTTGAACTTCATCGCTGGCTTTTCAGAGGATAACGAAGGCTTGCGAGAGAGGAAGTGATGTTACCAACACCTCTTTACTCTGCCGAATGACAAGAACCAATGTTAAAACGTATTGGTAACACCTACTCTTTTCAAAAAGTACACTAATGAGGTGATCCACTGTACGATTTCCTGCTCTCGCTTATTACATCTCTGCCAGTCAGAATTGAAAGACATGACGATGAAGAGAAGCAGAGGATTTTTTATTTTTTTGAAAATGATTGTGCTGTAGGAGCTGGAAGCTGATATCAGAAATATGTTTGCCAATGCTTTGTACATTCAGTTCCTGCAGCTAGACTTTCCAAGTGGAAACCAGGCTCTCAACGGTCTTCCATAATTCATAAGCAACTCATCTCCAAAGCAAGCCCTTTCCATCCTCTCTAAACGAGCGTGCTGTGCGGCGCCCACAGCTGCACAAAGGGAATGTCAGTCTCATGACGGACAATTTCACATTCTTTGTTTCAGAAGAATGGATGTGAGTAGAGGGCGTTTATCTTCTTCTTCTGCAGGTACAGGGAATGCAAACAATGCTGGAGAGCCTGTGTTGTGTCTGTCTCCAGAGGCTTCAGCTCTGCACACTGCTACCACTTTTTTCTCCCACTGTCATGTGACGTGTGCACGCTGCGCAGTGGGTGTACACACAGTCTGTATGTGTATATATATATAGCGCGCTATTTTTAAAAGCCGAACCGCAAATAGTAGGAAACGGGGCCTAAAACGGTCCTCGCTTCTGTTGCCATTCCTGGTCTGCTGCTGCCTCCTCATTCATTCATGAGTCTGCATGAATTTGCAGAAACACGCTTTTCTCTCTCCACTTTTCCCTTTTTGACATTTGAAATGTATGAAGTGCCAATCCTGTGTTTCTGATCATGCATTGTAGAGTATCGCAGACCACCCTTTATTTCATGGTTAATTAGATACACGGCTGAATTAGACACGGCTTTTTACACTCTTTGTATTTTCTCCGTGTTACATACAATTAGGTCAGTGTTCAGTATTTATATTATACTAATGTTATCAGTGGACACCAAATCAGCTTGTATGCCGAGTTTAATCGGAGAGATCTTCCCGACTCATACATGCTTGACTTGAGAGTCATCCATCCATCCATCCATCTTCTCCCGCTTATCCGTGGTCGGGTCGCGGGGGTAGCAGTTCCAGCAGAGAGCCCCAAACTTTCTTTTCCCTGGCGACATCAACCAGCTCTCAAATCAAAATACAAAAATAACGAAAATGTGCTTTTTGAGAGTTAAAGTCAAATTCTTCCTTTGCTGTGAAGTTCATTTTTTATACCCTAAAAAAGACCCTATTTTCTTGTAATTGAACGTCCATAATTGCTGGATATACATATATATATATATGGATATAATTTAAGGACTTTTAATACAAGAGCGTAACGATATAATGAATTATTATTCATTTGGAGCAGAAGTGATTTATTAAATCTTGAATAATTGTTTGATCGTTAATTTCATGTTAGGCTCAATGATGGTTGAATGGATGGTAATTTTAGTTTCACTACTTGACATTAATAACGCAAGATCAGGTGTTTTGTTGGTTTGCATTGGTTGTGTTTATGTGGCAATAGTGTGTGACTGTGTGTGTGAATGTGTGTGTAAGGAGCGTAATGTAGAGTAATGTTCATCCCAGTGTCAACGGTCGTACTGCCCTGCTTTTATCACACAGATCACTGAGTCACAGATTATACGATGCGATACAATAATACTTTCCTGTCAGATCAAGTCTTATATTTTTCTTGAATAACAGCAGCTCCATTTGCAACGTCAAACATTGACAGATATTAAGGAAAACAAACATGTACCAGAACATCACGATCACTGAAGAGAAACACTAATCAAGACCTTCAAAAATACATTTGACTCAATGGGGAAAAAAGATTTGGGGCCATTGAAGTCGCGGACTGACACGTACTGCCGTTTGGCCACTACACATTTCTGCTTCAACGTCTTGGCTTTTAGTCAAAGTCAACTTTAATGTCAATCTTCCAGTTTGTGTGTACAGACAGAGACTTAAATAAAAGCACAACAATCAGTATATACAACATAACAGTCACTTCAATATTTTGAGAATGTGCATTGGTGCAATATTGTCCATTAGTGCGTTATTTTATTGACACAGATCGCAGAGTGAAACTTGTTTCCTGTCATAAATTAGCCGCGTTTATGATGGAAAATATGTGGCGTTAACAGTCTCCGACTAATTATCGGGGGGGAAACACATTCAGAGTGTCAGTCCGGGGCAAGTAAATACCAATACAATACAATAGATATAGTGCAAGAAGAGTCTATATACAAGTAATTGGAATATTGATACATATGAGTTGCAAACAGATGAATGTTATGGAGGTTCTTTCAAACGTTCAGGTGTTACACAGTCTGTGGGATGAAACCGTCTCTGAGTCTGGTGGTTTTGTGTACTTTTGCCATCTCTGGTCATAAATGAGCCACATGGCGTTTTTTTAAATATGTGGCGTTCACGGTTTCTCCTCGCTGCTCTGCTTTCCATCGGGAGGGAAACACATTGGTAGTGTCAGTCCAGGGCAGCCGGGGGCCGCGGGCGACCAGCGGATCAGTGATGTGGCGCTGATGCCTCTAATGAAGCTGACACAGCCCCCCCCCCCCCGAGGGCCTCCTGCTCTGCATGTAGCCCTACAAACACCCCCCACCCTCCATAACTCCCACCACCACACCACCACAGCCCCTAGTAGACCACACACACACACACACACACACACACACACACACACACACACACACACACACACACACCACACACACACACACACACACACACACGCACACACACACACACACACAACTACACAGACATTCCTGTTTGTCATCTTGCAATATGCTTATTTATATGAAGTGTTTGTCTGAAACACCAAACAGATCATTGCAGCATTACCCATAATCCCCTCTGTTTCAGCCCTGTTTCCAAAGTGCTGATTCTCTGTCTGTTACTTTAGATGAAAATAAGGAGCCCCTCCCCACGCCCCTCTGAGAGACATTTGGTTACAAAGAGCTCAATGGTGCTCTAGGAGGAGATTCAGGTGATAAGGGGGGGGGGGGTTACCTTGGTTGCTGATTGGCTAATGGTTACTCAAGCCAAAACATCGTTATGACATCATAAAGTGACCTTTAATTTACATTATTTTATTTTATATTCTGTTCTTGTACATATCACATTCTATTTACATGTATATAGACTTTTTGCACTAGTTTTTTATTTTGTATTTTTGTATTTTATTATATATGTTGCATTGTTGGAGGAGCTCAGGTCAGAAGAATTGTATTCCCATTTCTACACTGTAGCTTCGTGCACATGACAATAACACCTTTGAATTTCTGTCGTTGTGTATGAGGGGTCGTTGCAAACCGTAGTCATATTCCAATTACTTGTATATAGACTCTTCTTGCACTATTTCTATTCTATTTTATTTGCACAATTGTATCTTGTTTGTGTTGCACTGCTGGAGGAGCCTGTGACCTAAGATGTTCACTGTCATATCTACACTGTAGCTAATATACACATGATAATAAGCCTTGCATCTTGAATCCAGCAGCTAAAGTGGGTCACAGTGTGCAAACTCCCCCCTTTTCTCTGTGCACTAATGAATGTCTGTGTGTTGTTTTCCAGGATCTGCCCAGCTGAGGTGAAGGGGAGGGCAGAGGATCCCAGATCAACCTGAGTGTGGATGACCTGGCTCTGGAATCAGGAACATGATCTGAAGAAGGCGCCGCACACCGAACCCCGACTTCCTCTCCTCCTCCTCCCTGTTTTTTTATTTTTTATTTCTAAATCTACTGGGTCACAGCCTCCCTGCCGGGCTGCTAACACCAGCGTGCACTGAGAGGACGACCTGAGGAAGGAAATTCAGCGACAGCCATCCGTGACCTCTGACCTCGACACACTGCCAGAACCATGGGGAGGAAAAAGATCCAGATCCAGAGGATCACTGATGAACGCAACAGACAGGTGAGAGGCTGTTCAGTAACCCAGCGATATCTGGATGTGTAACCAGGCTACTGTTACATGTGATGAGATTAGGTAGTCAAAATACCATTTTTTTTTTTTTAACGGTATTCGATTACAATTACATTAAAAAACGGATTATGGTTACATTCAAAATAAAATAGAGATTACTAGCAGGATTACAGCGTTACAATACATTTTGAAATAATAATAATAATGCTTTAATGTGGTGTAGGAATGAGTCCTGAAATCCCGAAATGAGTCAGCAGTTCACCACTTCCTGTTGCCTCGTGTTGAAGTCAATGTATTTTTGAATGATTCCTATCGAGCTGCAGAGATTTTCTTGTTTTGTTCTGCGTGATAAGATACATCAGTAAATACTCCACTGGTGAATTAAAAAAATGGTGGTTGCTAAAAAGTGTCTAAATGAGACGACCAAACGTCATCACGCCCAACATTAGCCACCTTTAGCTTAGCGGTGGTGACGTGAAGTCATGTGACCGTGCTGTAGTTCCTTTATAGCGCAACATTAGCCGCCTTTAGCTTAGCGGTGGTGACGAGAAGTCATGTGACCTTGCTGTAGTTCCTTTATAGCCCAACATTAGCCACCTTTAGCTTAGCGGTGGTGACGTGAAGTCATGTGACCGTGCCGTAGTTCCTTTATAGCCCAACATTAGCCACCTTTAGCTTAGCGGTGGTGACGTGAAATCATGTGACCGTGCTGTAGTTCCTTTATAGCCCAACATTAGCCACCTTTAGCTTAGCGGTGGTGACGTGAAGTCATGTGACCGTGCTGTAGTTCCTTTATAGCCCAACATTAGCCACCTTTAGCTTAGCGGTGGTGACGTGAAGTCATGTGACCGTGCTGTAGTTCCTTTATAGCCCAACATTAGCCCCCTTTAGCTTAGCGGTGGTGACGTGAAGTCATGTGACCGTGCTGTAGTTCCTTCAAAGCCCAACATTAGCCACCTTTAGCTTAGCGGTGGTGACGTGAAGTCATGTGACCGTGCTGTAGTTCCTTTATAGCCCAACATTAGCCACCTTTAGCTTAGCGGTGGTGACTTGAAGTCATGTGACCGTGCTGTAGTTCCTTTATAGCCCAACATTAGCCCCCTTTAGCTTAGCGGTGGTGACGTGAAGTCATGTGACCGTGCTGTAGTTCCTTTATAGCCCAACATTAGCCACCTTTAGCTTAGCGGTGGTGACGTGAAGTCATGTGACCGTGCTGTAGTTCATTTATAGCCCAACATTAGCCCCCTTTAGCTTAGCGGTGGTGACGTGAAGTCATGTGACCGTGCTGTAGTTCCTTTATAGCCCAACATTAGCCCACCTTTAGCTTAGCGGTGGTGACGTGAAGTCATGTGACCGTGCTGTAGTTCCTTTATAGCCCAGCACTAGCTTTTTACTTCAGAAATCATAAAGTGGTGTCTTGCTAAACAAACCATGTTAGTATTATTAACGTGGGAACCAGGGAGATGCTCATTTACTCTACAAAAAGAATGCATCCGATGTTAACCTGGATTGAACTCCCTATATGATTTAAATATCCCCGTCACACATCCTGCTCATATAATCATATCAACGCCTCCTTAATTAATTTCCATTAGGCTGACAGAAAGCCTTATCAAATTCCCACAGGGATCCTTTCTGTTTTCACATGTTCCATGTAGCATGAACAACCTAATGGGCGTTCTCTCAACAATATAACCGCATTGAGTTTTATGAGTCTCATACGACTCTAATCGGGAGACTTTTTCATTCCCCTACAGTAGAGAAAAAAAGCAACACATTATGATATATACCACCTTAAAACAGTCCCTCGGTTACATCAGTGGCATTGTCAGCGATGATGAAAGGGTAAATGATCCGTCTTAAATGAGTCAACTGGTAAATGGGCTTCACTCCATTGAGCAGATTGAGTAATGGATGTGACGAGCTCTCCTTTAAAAGCAGAGCGAGGAGAGAACAAGGTGTCGAGCTGAAAAAGAGCCGGCCGCTGGGTTTTGGAAAATCATCTTCACTTTTCTCCTCATCAATCTGAGTTGCATTTCAATAAAGCAGAAAAGTGCTCCTGCAGCGGGATGAAGGGTTGCGTTTCATCGGTAAACAATTGGAGGAGGAGGAAGAGGAGGAGGAAGAGGAGGAGGAGGAGGAGGAAGGAGGAGGAAGAGGAGGAGGAGGAGGAGGAGGAGGAGGAGGAGGAGGAGGAGGAATCACATAGGACAAGTAAACAGTCCCCAAGAAACAGTTAATGGGAGAAATTAAAGAAACCTCGATAATACATTTACAACATATTCCAAACCTCTAGAACCTGCATGCGAAAAAATGATCAAATATAATCAAAATATTTATATAAACATAAGACGTTTAAATGAATTTTAAAATGTAGTGTTACTTATTTGACTCGCATATTTCCATCTGTTTTCCATTCATGAGTCATGACTAAAGGAGGTGAAATACAGTTTAACACGCACACACCAGAGTCCTGGTACCCGACCCGATGGGTGGTATTTTTCAAACTTTTTTTTCCGTGTTCGGTTCTGGGTAAAACAAAGAAGATGCGGGTCGGGTCGCGGGTGTTGCATAATGAATATATTAAACTAATAATTTAATTTAATTTAATGGTTAAATCCTCAGACCTCTCCCCCGCGGGACCGCGTAGCCTCTGCAGCGCATCAATCTGCTGCTGAGCGCCACATTCGAAATGGCTGAGGTGAAGCTCTAGCGGAGGATACAGCATTTTCAATAACACTTCCTCAAGAGCGAAATCCAACGTCTGGGAGGCTTTTGGTTTCATCCTAGATGGAGGAAATAACTAACATCCCACACTTTTTGAGACACATATGCAACTGTGTGTTAATAATTGTTCTCACTGCTCATAGGATATGCGGGTTCGGGTCGGTTTGCGGAACTAATTGTCAATATGTGCGGGTTCGGTATTGCACGTCACGGGTGCGGGCAGGTGCAGGTCTTGAAAATCAGGACTCTGGTACACACACACACATACACGACACACCTACACACACACACACACACACACACACACACACACACACACACACACACACACACACACACACACACACACACACACACACACACACACACACACACACTGAAAAACCATCAATAATTACAATCCAGTGATACAATATGTTATTCTTAACTACGCCATTCTGCATATTAAGTACTTTTACTGAACATTTTGAATTCAGCGAGTGCCACGTGGAGCAGAGCTTTCTGTACGCTGCAGTATTACTACTTTTACTTGAGAAAAAAATACCTTTCGTGCCTCTGCATTTCACATTGTGTTTGCAGAGGAACGCAGTATCAGGCGGCTGGATTAAAGCAGATCTTTTCTGCACGCTTGCTGCAGCTAATGATCAGTGCAGCTTCTGAAAGGGAAATCAAATGAGATGATTTTTTGGAGTGCATGCAGCCGTCACCCTCCTACGTGTTGATTCAGAGAGGCTGCCATAAGCTCCAATAAATAAACAGAGTGTGGGCCTCGGCTGGAAACATGACAGCATCTCAAATGCCACATTTCTCACGGAGACAAAGAAAAACACGAGGAGCAGAACCGGGAAATGTTGGCATGGAGGGATATATTTTTGTATTATTGTGTGTGTCACATCAAAGATAGCAGAGAAAGGCAGGATTACTCACTGACACCGTGACCCTTGTAGCCGGGGGTAGAAACCATGAATCCAATAACTGCACAGATGGAAAGTAACAAAGTAAAACTCACAAATAACATATGATTACAGCTTAAGCAGTTTCTAAAGTCATCAGAATTAGCTCCACATGAGGGTAGTTCTTGGATTACAGTCAGAACTCGGGAGGAAAAGTCCGACATTTGAGAAAAAAGTCAACATTTTTACAGATTTCTGACTTTTTTTCTCTGTATTCTGACTTTAAACTCAGAACTAAAAACATAAACTCCCTTTTGGTCAGATCTAAATGAAATGATCATGTAGCTGCTTAATCCTCTTCCTTAGATGTCCCATTCATTCCTATGGGGAACAGGTTCAGCAGTTTTTCACGATGAATTGGAGTTTCATTTCCATCCATGAACCAGTTGGAGATCCCGAACTTTGAGAAAACAGACGGCTGAAATAACTTTGAGTTGCAACGATGTAAATAAAATAATTTTTACTTTACGGAGAAGATAACGCTGTCAGATAATATAGAACACGAGGTTCAATAAGGTGGAAAAGTGTCAGAGTTTTAAAGCAGGGTTCTTCTCCAATAATGCCTTAAAATTACAAAACATATCCCAAAAGAATGTCTGAGCTACAGGAAGCAGGAGAGGAGGTTACGGTTGTCAGGGGTGGTTTCCTCACACACACACACTCACACACACACACACTCACACACACACACACACACACACACACACACACACACACACACACACACACACACACACACACACACACACACACACACACACACACACACACACACACACACACACACACACCAGTCGCCCCCTTTCTCTCTCTCACTTTCTTTTGCTTTCTGTCTTTCCTCACTGAGGATGTCTTACTCTTCAGTTGCCATTGGATACCTGGCTTCTTAATGTCAATTACCTCCAGCTTGTTTTTCCTTTGTGGCAAACGGGGGGTCGGGGGGGAAAGAAACCGAGAAAGCGTCCACTTTTTCCAAGAAAGGAAACAGGTGATTTAATCGAGATGCTGGTGTTAGTTTTGAGAAGGGCTTACTCTCTTTTTTAATATATGTATGGTCCTTTTTTAATAAAGACATATACAAATAAAAGTAATTATAATAATTTGTTTAATATAGGATAAGTAGATTTGTTAAAAAAAAATCGAAATGTACTTAAAATAATAATAATAATAATAATAGTAAATTAGTTCTGTTATTGTATTTTAATTAGAACATATATTTTATTTTATAATATCAATAATCATAATAATATAGGACAAGCAGATTGGTTATAGGAATTGTATTTATTTTGTATTTATACGTGTATTTAGCGCCGGGCAGTATGACTCACATCACAGTATTTGACCAAATAATCACGGTATTTATTTATTTTGAAATGATTGGAAATTTATTTATAAAATGGATAAGTCAAATCAAGCAATCTGATTGGTTCTTAGCCGTGATATAATGAGCGTATATCACGGGTAGAGCTACGTGAAGAGCAAGTAGACCAACTGGAAAAGTACCACCATTCAAAAGCTTTCTGATGCGGGTCTTGAACCAAAGCAGAGACATGATGACCGTTAGTGGCCACAGGTGCGAAAGCTCTCTCCAGAGCTGCTGGAAGCCGAATCTCGGGGACCGGAGAAAGTGGAGCAATATTCTCGCCACGCCGAGCAACAGCCAGAACAACCTCAACCTATACAAGTAACCTCGTAAGCATGCTACTGATGCTGCACAGGTTTTCAGTGGCTGCACAATAAACGCCAACATACAAATTAATGTAAATAAACAGCCAAATAATGGATCAACGCTCTCTGTCTAATATGTTCACTAGCTGTTAGTGTTGTTGCATAGCAACCACCTCGCACTATGTTTCGTGCAGAAGGCAACGGAGGGACTATTTTATTTTGAACATCATTATTTACTAATAAAAACTATTTAGTGTAGAGTGTATTTTCTTTCATATTGCCACACTTGGTAACCGTTTTATAAAAGCAACAGCTCACTTCAGGCCGTGGTATCTGCTCATTATATCACAGCTAAGGGGGTTGTTCGGCCTGTCGTGAGCTATTGCTTAATTACAAGTTATGGCCCCCCCAAAAAAACACTGAAATAAACAAATATTCATGGTAAGATTTTTTTTAAAGAAGTCTGTAAAGTACCGGGACTTTTTATACTCTATTTACTATATATTTAATATATTGCACCTACAGCGGTCTGGATATTGCACGGGTCCATATTGCATATTAAATAAAACGTCTAATATAAATCATGCAGCATCTTCTTGTTGTTGTTGTTGTTGTTGTGTGTATTTATTATTATTATTATTTATACATGATAATAATATAGGACAAGCAGTTTCAAAGAATAAAATAACAAAAATATTCATGGTGATTTTGAAAGGAACCATACCTTTTATTAAGTCTGTAACGTAGTATACTAATATATAAAGTACTTAATATGTTATTATATTGCACCTACAGCGGTCTGGATATAGCACGGGTCCATATTGCGTATTAAATAAAATGTCTAATATAAAGTCGTGCAGCATCATGTTGTTGTTGTTGTTTGCTCGTCTCTTCATCACCTGCCGTCATTTCGTCCCTTTCCAACGTTGCCACATACTTCATCTGCTCAGAGGAAGAGGAAGGGGGGAGGAAGAGGAAGAGGGGGAGGAAGAGGAAGAGGGGGAGGAAGATAGGCAGAGAGATAAAGATGGAGGGTGAGAGGTGAGGTGATGAGGTGGGAAACAGAGGGTGGGGGGAGGCGGTTGCTCATGGATACGACCCCGTTATAATTTGATTTGTGGCAGCAGGAAGCAACGAGTGAGCGCGAGAGGAGGATGTGGGAAAGAGAGAGAGAGAGAGGAAAAAGGAGGGTGAGATTGTGAGAGATTGAAGGTCTCGCTATCATCCTCCCCCGTGTCTCTATCTTATCTCCCCCCTCTATCTCTTCCTCTTTCCTTATTCAATTCATTTCAATTGCAGAAAGCAGAAGCAGAGCAGAGCTTTCATCAGTTCGATATCAGTGATAATGCATCGTAGCGCTATGACTGTGTTATTACAGGACGCTAAATAACACCTCGGAACCAGCGGCGCTATTATGGAAGGGATAAGAACAGATACCATGTGGTTTGGTGGAACACAATGAGATGCAATACAATTAAATCACATGTAATAATAAATACATTAAATAAAAATAAATACAAAATAAATAAATGCATAATAAATACATTAAAAATATAGGAAAATATTATTATACATTTAATTAAAAAAGCATGTCATTACATACAACAAATAAACATAGAAAAATAAATAACAAATAAATACATAAATAAAAACAATAACAAAATTGATTGTGCATTTAATTACAAATACATAACATGTAATTAAATATAATAACACCAAATAAAATGTATTAAAATGAATAAAATACAATTACAAATAAATACAATAACAGAAAAATAAATACATCAAACAATAAAATACAAATAAAACATAATAATACAGAAATGATTTCAAATTGAATTCAGTTCTAGTGTCTCAGCTATTTATCACTTCCGATCAAAGCAGACTGTCCATTTTCTGACTTTACCACCATTTTCATTTCGTTTGAAGACAGGAATATAAAGCCCTAAAAACGTAGGCCGCTTCACAGAAATGTGGATTTACAGGATGAAACGCTCCGGGATCCCTTCAGTGCAGACACAGGAATGCTGCTCCACAGCTCCCGCCCACTCTGTGAGGTCACAGCAGGTGTTTTACCTAATGGAAATGTGTTGATGTCACCCGTGGGCGCGCCCTGACCAGCAGCGTGCTTTAAAACCGCTCGTTACACCTTCACATCAGTCCTGATTCCCATCTGTGTCTCTATCTGCATCGCTGCCATATCAAACACCATATTGTGTCTGAACCTGAAGCCTCTCCTTCTCCCTCTGTGTGTGTGTGTGTGTGTGTGTGTGTGTGTGTGTGTGTGTGTGTGTGTGTGTGTGTGTGTGTGTGTGTGTGTGTGTGTGTGTGTGTGTGTGTGTGTGTGTGTGTGTGTGTGTGTGTGTGTGTGTGTGTGTGTGTGTGTGTGTGTGTGTGTGTGTGTGTGTGTGTGTGTGTGTGTGTGTGTGTGTGTGTGTGTGTGTGTGTGTGTGTGTGTGTGTGTGTGTGTGTGTGTGTGTGTGTGTGTGTTGAATCCAAACAAAGCCAAATCTCCCTGGATGGTAAATACCAGTTGGTTATCGCCGGGAAGCGCTTTCTAAAGCCAACATGGAGACGACAAGGGACCCTGTGCCTCAGCAACACTCCCACTTCTGCAAGTGTGTGTGTGTGTGTGAGAAATAACGTGTGACAGAAGGAGAGTGTGGAAAAGAGAGCGGGAGAGAGTGTGTGACACAGAAAGAGAGCATGGAAAAGAGCATAAGAGAGTGTGAAAACGGAGAGGGGAATGAGTGTGACGGGAGAAAAGCTGTGTGTGTGTGTGTACTACAAACGGAGTACTTGAAAGAGAGCATGTTCAGACACTCTGTCTAGAAGTCTGTTTCCTAAAGCACACAGTACTTTTATACAATCACTCCTGTTTCGATCCCATACTCCCCCTGCAAACTATAAAACATGGCAATAAAACAGTGATTTTGTGTCAAAATGCTCAGATCGTATCCAGGATTATCACAAGTTGAACATATAAGGAGTACTTCTATCGAGAGGGAGATATGCCAACGTGGTTCGTGCTTAAATCAAGACTGAAAGTGTGAACTTGACTTCAGGAAATGAATGTTCCCGGCAGAAAAACACTGTAAATGATATGAACTGTTACATTTTAGTTTGGGATAACACAGGAAGCAGTTAGCTTTGGAGCGTTGGATACAGAGCCACGCTAGCTGTTTGTGCTAAGCTAAGCTAATTGTGCTCAGGCTTTATTGCAATACTTATCAGACGGTCAAAATGTATTTCCCACTATGTGAAACTATGTGACCCTTAAGTGTTTACAACTGGAGAAGAACATGACCCTTCATTGAGTTTGATGAATACACACAGTACCATTGCACACGTGACGCATTTTGTTGGTCTCTTCGGGACTTGAACTGGCAACTCAGGGTGCATTCACACCTAATAGTCCGCTCTCAGCTGCGCACCGGACCACAGTGTGTTACATGGTTTCATTCTTCAGAAGGTTCGGTTTGCGTTCACACGGCAAAACTCAAACGGACTATAAACTTTAAACACAAGTCATGTGCACGGAAATGCTGTTCAACCATTGGTCAGACATTGAGGGGGTAAAAACGCAAATCCCGACAATTTCTACCGGAGCCTCCGCCATGGAGCATCGGCACTTTCGGCAGGTTATTCTCATGCTGCTGTTAATGTGGAGATCAACAGACACTAGCGGCCCGCGTATATGATTATATAATCAGACAATGTCCGTTAAAAAACATTATAACACATGAGAGACGTTCTGCAGTCAGGAGGGCGTTTCACCGACGACAGAGGTTCTTACTTTTATGTAGTTGATGGAGAATTTTTACTTTACACGACACTGTTCAACTCTTCATTCTGCTTCACTCTTTAACTAAGCAACCGCGGATGTCTTGAAAGACTCTTTCGCTAAAGATTTTGAAGATATCCACGTTCTTGTGACACGTAAATACTACGCTTCCTATGTTTTGGTGCACACTGCGTTCACACCAGCAATGAACCGCTCCAGAGTTCAGCAATGAACCGCTCCAGAGTTCACTAGCAAGCGCTCCGAGACCACCTATTTTAGCGGACCAGAGTCCGGTTGTTTAGTTCACTTCAGAGGTCTCGGACTGTGTTCACACCGACCCAAATGAACCGCACCAAGCGGCTGAACGCACCAGGGTTCGATTCAACCGCACTATAAAAGGCAGGTGTGAACGCACCCTAAAATCCCCCAGAAAATAAAAATATTTCAAGTTATTTCCATAGAAATCTGCAGTTCTTTGAATGTTCCTGGTCCATTTTACATTGTCAATCATCACGCCGACTTAAATAGAGATATCTTCAAAACTAATCGATAACATGTCAACAGGTTGAGGTTATTCCTCTTTCGCCAGTTCAGTTTAAAATGAAACGTGAAAAACATGACAGGAAAAGGACGGTTGCTGCTCTAGAATACAACATTTAACTTTGACTAACAAAAATATGGATTTCTTCTGCAGTGCATTCATTTCCGATTTTGAAAATGAAGCATTCCCGTGACTCAAAATGTCTTCCTCCTCTTCTTATCTCCAGGTGACGTTCACCAAGAGGAAGTTTGGTCTGATGAAGAAGGCGTACGAGCTGAGCGTGCTGTGCGACTGCGAGATCGCCCTCATCATCTTCAACCACTCCAACAAGCTGTTCCAGTACGCCAGCACCGACATGGACAAAGTTCTGCTCAAATACACCGAGTACAACGAGCCGCACGAGAGCCGGACCAACGCCGACATCATCGAGGTAAAGCGTGGAGGGGGAAGGGGAGTGTCGTGGATCCCAAACCGTAGACATAACAAGATAACAAAACAGAAACACAGACACACTGCCGATTGAAGGAATTATTATATTGTTGTACAAGAGCCAGAATACTTGCGTCAAGTCCGCCAAGAGTACATGTGTCTGTCTGCAGAATAACTGAATCTCACAGGTTTGATACACTTCTTTTGAGTTTACACAGCACTGTGCCTTTGGAGCTTTTACAATCACATGTTTCAAGACTCAATAACACGCTGCAGACAGACATGCGCACATTCATGGTCTCTTTAGATAAACTACAAGATGGCTCACAACACATGAGCGGTCAACAAGTGCACCGGGCGGGAATTACTTGAATTTCCCCAAATATATCATCCATTTGACCATGACACAGTCTTTGAGTGGGATAGCCCACTTTGCTGACTCGCTATGGAAACATTTTCAGTCAAAAGGTTGTTTTTTGTTGGCAAATCAGCGTTTTAGTAACTGTTCCTAGTGTTTATTTTTCACTTAACCCTCCTGTTGTCTTCGGGTCAAATCTGGCTGATATACTTTAACTATTTCCACACATAAAGTGATTTTATATGAATAACCAACCAGTTTCTGCTCGTTAACGTCAAAATAAACAATGTTTAATCACATTTTAATGAACACAAAACACATTGTGATATAACTAACACTCTTTCACAATGAGATACACTTCTTTAACCCTCCTGTTGTCTTCGGGTCAAATCTGACCGATTTACTGCTTTCATCAATCATAACTTTTTTGTTTTACATTCGATTGCATCAAGGCTTCATGATATCCTTCACAGGAGACATTTGAACATATAACATTGCTGATCACCACTTTCATTGCATTTTGGATGATTTAGTCAACTTTGAAACACCTATGGTTTATGACCGCCATAAAGAAAAGGAATTAGTAACCATCCGGATCAGATAAAACACACACACACACACACACACACACACACACACACACACACACACACACACACACACACACACACACACACACACACACACACACACACACACACACACACAGAACAATTTGACACATTTCCCGCTCTTATGTGCCCCTCCCCCCACATGGATCACACCTGGCACATGCAGTACATGTTCAGTGTCTGTTCTTTGTATATTGACTGCAGTTTTTCATGTATACCAGTAGTCTGATACAATATGTACAGTTTGAAAGGGTGTTAAATGACATTTGGTGAAGATTAATGGTTTTTGTGTTAATGTAATAGCAGTTAAAACAGGACCGGTCAAATGTGACCGTGAACACCAAAGTAGGGGGGGGGGGGGACGAAGGCAACAGGAGTACGATTGAAACATTTTCAGGTTGTTCTTTGGTGCATCAAAGTTGGAAAATCTGCGTTGTAGTAACTGTTCTTGGAGTTTATATTTCACTTAAACTAATCTAATCCCACCCTCCTCAGACTTCATTAAGTCCAGTCTATCAAGGCTATTCCAGTTCATTGCAGTCCAGCCTGTTAAAAGGAGAGTGGATGATCCAACTCCATCCCGCTTGTTTAGCTGTTGATTATTTCTGTATTTGTTATCATTGATTTCTACCCGAAAATACCCAGATTTTTGTAAAAAGCAGTTCCTTTTCACCTGGATTTTATATACCTACATGTGGTATTACTGGTGGTATTACTGGTGGTATTACTGGTGGTATTACTGGTGGTATTACTGGTGGTATTACTGGTGGTACCTACTGGTGGTATTACTGGTGGTACCGACTGGTGGTACCTACATGTGGTATTACTGGTGGTACCTCCTGGTGGTATTACTGGTGGTATTACTGGTGGTATTACTGGTGGTACCGACTGGTGGTACCTACTGGTGGTACCTCCTGGTGGTACCTACATGTGGTATTACTGGTGGTACCTACTGGTGGTACCTACTGGTGGAACCTACTGGTGGAACCTACTGGTGGTACCTCCTGGTGGTACCTACATGTGGTATTACTGGTGGTACCCGACTGGTGGTACCTACTGGTGGTACCTCCTGGTGGTACCTACATGTGGTATTACTGGTGGTACCTACTGGTGGTACCTACTGGTGGTATTACTGGTGGTATTACTGGTGGTACCTACTGGTGGTACCTACTGGTGGTACCTACTGGTGGAACCTACTGGTGGTACCTACTGGTGGAACCTACTGGTGGAACCTACATGTGGTACCTACTGGTGGTACCTACTGGTGGTACCTACTGGTGGTACCTCCTGGTGGTACCTACATGTGGTACCTACTGGTGGAACCTACTGGTGGTACCTACTGGTGGAACCTACTGGTGGAACCTACTGGTGGTACCTCCTGGTGGTACCTACATGTGGTATTACTGGTGGTACCTACTGGTGGTACCTACTGGTGGAACCTACTGGTGGTACCTACTGGTGGAACCTACTGGTGGTACCTACTGATGGTACCTACTGGTGGAACCTACTGGTGATACTTACTGGTGGTACCTACTGGTGGAACCTACTGGTGGTACCTACTGGTGGAACCTACTGGTGGAACCTACTGGTGGTACCTACTGGTGGAATCATTAGGACCTAAGAGATTCCTAAAAAACCTACATGAGAGAGACAGAGAGAGTAGCTGTACTACACTGCAAACAACTGTACCAAAACAATATTAAGACTACAGAAACACATCTTATTTAACCCTTACATGGTTTACGGATACAGTCATTTACCAAGGCTGTGTCCATGTGTAAAATGGGTGTAATAACAGTGCAATACTGGTGTCACATGGGTGCAATGTGGGTCAAATAACAGTGTAATATAGGGATAATTTGGGTGTAATAGTTAGGTGGGTGATTGTGTAATAACAGTGTAATAACAGTGTAATATTGGTTGTTACATGGGTGCAATGTGGGTCTAATATGGCTGTATTAATAGTGTTACACGGGTCAATAGTGTTTTATTTTCCTACATGCCTGACCGAGTTTCTAATATAAACAAATTAGTGTTTTCACGATAACGTTTTATGGAAAAGTAGCTTTCTCATATGCATATTAGTATCAGAGAGGTCAGTGATGGGGTCAGGAGAGAAGGTGCGAGCGCAATCGTTTGCTTCTTATGTTTTGGTAATTCATTTCCTGACGTCTTTGCTCCCTGTGGGGAAGATGTGCAGCTCGTCAGGCGAACACGCAGCACATTCACATGCTTGCTGACCCTATTATACATAATGGCCCTCTCATGAATTGAACACGAGATGCTATGATTCAGCGCGCCGTTACACTGCACTGCAGCACTTAGGCTTCGCATGGAGCGGAGACTTAAAGCTCCAATGTTTTCCTCACTTGTTTTTTGACACTGTTTGAAATCGGTCAACCACAAACACCGTCAACATGCAGGAAGCGCCACATATTGGCAAACACATTATCGTCATGTAGAAAGGTCGGGTTAACGCCGCATTTCAACAAATAAACACACATGGCAAAGCAGAACAATGTCAGTTTCTGAGGGGGGGGGGTTAGGATAAGGTGACCAGATTTTCAAAATGAAAACCGGGGACATTTTGAGTTTTGCGGTCAATATATCATTAACATATCCAATTTTCTTCACTGTTAAATAAAAAAGGGGGACAATTCTGGTTCAATGTAATTTGAACATTTGAACTGTTAGATACAAACAGAAGGACGATATCTCATATATGAGACTTCAAAGGTCTTTTATTTTGAAATTCTACATCAGATTGTCCTGATTCTCTCTGAGTGACTAGATGAGGTCTCCTGCTGCTATCACCCTGAAGTGAAATAAGTCTTTAATTGAATTTGAGTGACTCTTTGATTATGGAAGGTGTCCATTAAATAATAATCAAAATATAGATGGACAATAGATCTAATTTGAGATTTTAAACAGCATACATTTTAAATTGTGCTTCAGAAGTAATGTTATTTTAGGAGTGTTGTGAGATGGTGTCAACATCAATTGAAATTAGTGGAAATGCCAGATATGTCTTCAAACTGTATCCTTACATTTTACATTCACTCAGTTATAATGTGGTTATACGTAGTTTGTTTTAAATTATGATTGATCACATTATATAGTACATATGTCTTAATTTAAGCTCCAGTATATATGAATATGTTTGGTGTGTTTTTTAGGTATATTTGTTATTGACCGAGTAAACGCTTTTATTTTGAAGGCAGTTTTTACAGGCCTCTACCGTAATGCATATTCGCGCACCGCAATACAACGTGCGGGCTGGCTTGACTGTGTTTTCCGAAGTGGGGGCTGGCTCGACCGCAGTCTGTTCACCCAGTGTTTCCTGACATGAAACGTTTTATTGCACCTTGCTATGTGTTTTTAACGTATTAAAAAATGGGGACAGTTTCAACCGGGGACAGGCCAATACAAACGGGGACTGTCCCCGGAAAACAGGGACGTCTGGTCACCCTAGGTTAGGACAGGAAACGCCGAGTCACCACAGAAGCATGATTTTGAACTACCAGAAGATGTTGTCCAATTGGCCTCATTATTTTGGAACAAAACCATCGTTCCCACATCTAACGTCAGCGTCAAATGAACTACTAATGGGAGTTAGTCCCCAGGAACGCTCAACAAGGGAACACTTTCGATTTGAAACAATTCCTCTCTGCCAGTTTCTGATTTATAAACAGAGCGGTGCGTACCAGTGTTCCAGGAATGGTTGACTTTGACACCGAATGATTGGCTGTATTTCACCTTTTTCAGACAGTTTTTTTGTATCGAAGATGTTTTTGGAAGACGCCCAGAGGCTTCAGAGATTGTTTGATTCATCTCTTAAACCCTCGAGAGGCTCCTCTGACCTCACACTGCAGCTTCAAGGCATCCTTCTCTTCCAAGTTGTCTGAAACTATCCATAAAAACATCTAAATCAATCACAAGCAGGCGAAATGTGAGACGTTTCACATGCAGCTAATAGATCCCTGCCACTCTTACAGAAACCTGGGAACCTTTTGAGGAACCTGAGAATCTGAG